TTTAGTTGCATTGTGGCAATTTCATGATCAGCACACTCAAGCATGATATTGAGGGGGATGTAAGAATAGTGAAGTGAAGAAAACCAATATCCATGTGGAAGATGAATCAATGGTTAAATTGAGTGACGCTTGTCAAGAGATAACATAGGTTGTTATAAGGTAGTTAGTCTTTAGCTTAGTGATAAAGCTTTGTAAAAACTATATAACAGACTTTGTAAATCTGTTACTTCATTGTCAATAAATACAACAAACTTTTCTTCTCTCTCTTTCTCTCCAAGCTTGATTCTCTCTCTTTCTCTCCCTCTCTCACTTTCTCTCTTTCTTCTTCGACTGAGCTTCTTCAGAATTCTAAGTCTTCTTCCTTAAGATTTCTCTACAGTCTTAACAATTCGTCCCCCTAAACCTTTAACATGATCAAGGATTTCGAGCTAATTTACTTAAAACATTGCTTTTTTTTTTCTTTTGAAAACGATACAATATTTATAATGATCGAAAATGCAAATTGCATTCACAATAAAGCACCACTATAATATGCTGAAGAAATTTAGAGATCAGACACAGACCAAAAAGCTGTGGATTTGACATTTATACGCGTCAAACATGTGATATTCTCCAATCAATTAGAAAGAATTATCACTAAACTGCAATTTTTTTTTTTTTGTTTTTTGTTTTGTTTGTGTGAAAGAGCTTGTTTGACTTGGCTGTTGGATAACCTCTGAAATAACCTTTTTGTTTGGATTATTTGCTCTTAGTTGACTTCTCGTATATAATATCAGTCCTCTCCATTAATTATAATAGTAATAAACATGTAAGACTATAAAGCCACTGTCCTTCTTGCTAACAACAAAGAGAAATGCTAAAGAGACTTTTAAAATGATATTTTTTTTTTTTAGATTATGTCACTTGACATTTTAATGTCGATTATCATATCAACATTATAAAATATTATGCTAAAAATATAATGTGCCAAACAATGGTGGAGCTCGATTTCTTGTGTAGAGAGCTTTACATAGGTATTTGAACTGAGAACATGAGATATTGGAATAATTTGCATAAAAAATTGAAAGACCCCAAAATAAATAGAGAGAACTAAAAATATTGCACAAACCTAGAAACCCGAATGTGAGGTAAAGAGTAAGCAAGAAATTTCTTAAAATATAAGTTAAAGAAAAATTGATAGAATAAGGAGGGGAAGTGAAGACTGCAAGATGGAGAGAAAAATGAGGCCTAGCCTGAACAAAAAAATGAGTTTGGACTGAGAACACATTTGAATTTTATGGTAGCAAGAAGAAGAAAATGCAGGATGGGTCAGAGACCATTTTGATCTCTTAGTGAATTCGCCACTGGTGAAAAGAGTCACACTTCTAAAAGAGTCTTCTTAACATTTGTCAACGACAAAAGAATAAAACCCCCATCATATGCAAATATTTTATTATCTCATAGTTGTAATTAAGTGTAATAATCGTAATTCTTAACATCATATGCATATGCTGCATGCATATTTTAGTACTGCTTATGTCCAAATCCCCATGTGGTCTACACGATATTGGGCTGCCGTGGTAGTCTCCCTTATGAAAAGCCCACTATTAGCCCATGTTTCGGTCTCGCTCATTTAAATTGTGCTAGCATCAGTAACACGTGAGAATGTTTATAATGCAACGGTAATTGATGATAATAGTGGGATTCACATAAATCTATGTTATTGCATTGTACGATTAAAAATAATTTGAGTATTCCATTAGGTACTATTGTTACATGCAAATTTTTATCAACGCACAATTAATTTTAGCATATCCTTTTCTTTCTTTAACAAGCATTTTAGCAATCTCTGATTATATAACAAGATCTCGGGTTGTGGCCTACAACGTCAAATCTAGGAACACATGAATAGTTTCATTTATCAACATTAATAAGTGGGAATGGTTGGGTGAGTGGAGTTTTTTCCCAAAGTCAAGCCACAAAAATATTGCTACAGTCTAAGACACCATTTTTTTTTATCTATATGCGAAGGAAACAGGTAAAAATGATGAAACTTTCATAATACCTAAATTATTCTTCTCCAATTAGGATTTCAAAAAATTAAAAAAAATCATAAAAAAAAACCCACGTATTAGGATTATGGGCGGTTATGTTCATTATTTTTTATTAAAATATATTTTAACAAAAAACAATAATGTCTAAAATCAGTATATTTAGAATAAAAAAATAAAACAATACAAAAAAGCGACTTGTCACACGCAAATGCATATGCCTAGAGGCTAATGTTAAATAAGACACTGCTTTTTATGCGCACCCACAACGACAATTATTACTAATATTACGAGTTAGTGATGTTTGTAAGTGAGAGATATCCAGATTCACTCACTTGAATTGTAAAAACGTATGGTACATATTGATTTTGATATCTAATTATAATTAGCCTGTTGTATGACTTAACATAATTCTCTATTCCTCCAAGTGGAGTATCTCTTTCTTTTCAAAGGAGAAGATTGATGTGTTTCAAAAAATAAAAATAAACCCTAATCATTCAATTTTGGGCCGGCCCATATTCCTTTCTCTATGCACATTTGGCCCCACGCTTGCTTCCCGAGCGTGTCGACCAATAACCGATTGGGTTTCCAACCAAAACCAAGGCGTGATGGGCACTTTCCATGGTGCGGTTCTCTTTGTGCGTTTTGGGAAAACGACATGCATTTCATCCAGTGGGCTCTTGGAGGGAGGAGCACTATTGACCATTGATGTCGTCTCTCTACCACAAAAATGTTCGAAGTGACAACTTATTCCCTCGTTTGCTCAAAAATATTGGGGCCAAAAATTAATTAGCCGAAAATAAAAGCGAAGAGGACTAAATTAGAGAGTTTGGCAGGCGTCAACCTAAATTAAGGGTTTAGGCAAAAGGGTTTGTAGTTCGAGTGTTAAGAGCGCTTCGTCTACAGTCTTATATTACAATTTTTCTCTTGCTAATATTACTCACATAATCAACATTGCAGTCTAATATTCTATACTAATTTTGTGTGTGTTAATAATACGTAGGGATGAATAAGGAGTGACGAAAATGGAACTGAACGTGAAATGGTACACAGAAGAAAAATCGAGAACAATTTTTTAGTAGGTTTTCTTTTCTATTTTTGTTGCTCACTCCACCCTTGTCCACTCATCTTTATTCCTCATTTTTTCACATATACATTCCCCTTTTATCAAGCGGACCTTTAAGTTGGTAAGCTTTAAAAGTTCGGGTATGAGAATATTATGATGGGTAATGATAAGTTTTTATGTCCAAGGAGTTAATCACAAATAAAAATGATGTTCGGGCAATGCTTTAGTAATTTCGAATTGAGCAATGTTTGGATCTCCAAGATTGAGGACGAATTTCTCCTCAATTTATTTTGTAGTCGATTCACAGAACTTCATATTTACAACCGGAATCTTTAATATTATAAATCTTTATATAAAGATCAATTCTATAAAAAAAATTAATTAAAACTAAGGTTATTTAGTCAATCAATTGTAAATAAATGGACAGTTCTTAATAATTGTACTAAATCCGTCCATCTGTTTTTATACAGTTCGACAGCTAAACAATTTCATTTTGTTGTAGATATAATCTTTACAAAGATCTTTATAATATGCAATTTCGATCATAAGTCTGAAGTTCTGCAATCGGCAATTCGAAGACGTAGTAAATTGAGGATTCTCATCTACCGAGGAGCCAAGTTAATTTCTTACGAATCCATTATCTTTTGCACCGTTCCCTTTTTCAATCTTGTGGACAAATCCAATAATCTTTACAAAATTTATTATAATATAAACGATTCTGATCATAAAAATAAAGTTCATAAATCTACAATTCTACCACGTAGTGAATTGAGGATCCTTATCCACTGAAGAACCAAGTTAATTTCTTACAAATCCATTATCTTTTGCACCGTTCCCTTTTTCCATCTTGTGGACGAATCCAACTTTCTTGATATGTGATTAATCTACTTTTCAATTGAAATTTGGTCACTCTGTCAAGTGAGATATCCCATCCTCTTTTGATGAACCATCATTTCCCATTATAGCCACCAATGGCGCAGAATCATGATGGTGCCCCATCTTCAATTATTTTCGATTTCTTTTTTTTATTTCATTCAATTAAATGAATAAATATTGAATTATGGAATTGAAAAACTTCATTTTAAACCACAAAATAGATCATGCAAATTTAGGACCCTGCAACTTGCATCACACTCCAATCAACTAAAACATAATTTTGAATTTTGAATATCCTCTAAACGTAGATTCTTTGTGCTTGACGTCCATTATTTATAAAATACGGACATGGATTAGTATTATTAAAAAGGGATTGACTTGTGACATTATTTTTTGCACAACATTTGATATACGTTTTATTTGGGACTCATTCCGTAATGTATTTCAACGATCCGAACCGTCTATGTTTTCAATCTTACCGCAATATCATGTCTACCAAAAATCATCAAAATCTGAAATCATATGATCGTTTGATTAAGAGTTTAGAGTTTCTTTATAGAACCATATTCGTTTATTTTCTTTACTACAAATGAATGTCTTAATGATTTGAATTTGTCTAATTTTTTGGAAGGATAATTTACGAATGATGTTCTAAATAATAGATAATTCGGATCGTTAAAATAATTGCAGAATGGGCTCCACAAAAACATACGTAAAAAAACATAGTGTCACAAATCCACTCCTTGTTTGTTTGTTTGTTTTGTTTTGTTTTTTGTTTTTTGTTTTATTTTTATTTTTTTTAGTACATCAATATTTTTACACTAGGGAAAGGGTGAGTTCGTCTAAGCCACATAATAGGCAGTCTAATTACCATACATGAGATATGCCCCTTGTTAAAAATATATAAATAACATGTCACTAAATTTTGTTCATCATTTCCTGAACTAACCATTTATAATTATTTTTTTTTTGGTAAAAACTAACCATTTATATTTTATTATATATGTATAAGGCTATATATATGCATGTGATGGAAAGGAGATAACTCATTAGAGGAATTAAAGTTGAATTTTTAATTGGTGAAGCCATGAAGGGAAGTCATGAGCCCCGTTCAAGCTCCTCTTGCGCAGCTTGCAAGACACTGAAGAGAAGATGCAGTCCCACCTGCATTTTCGCACCCTATTTCCACTCCGACGATGCCAAAAAATTCGCCCAAGTTCACAAAGTGTTCGGGGCGAGCAATGTGAGCAAGATCCTAACCGAAGTCCCCGAGGATCAGCGCGAGGACACGGTGAATTCGCTGGCCTACGAGGCAGAAGCGAGGCTGAGAGACCCCGTTTACGGCTGCATTGGCGCCATATCGATGTTGCAAAGGAAGATGATTCAGTTGCAGCATGATCTGGCTGTTGCTCGAGCTCGTCTCGCTTGCTATGCTCCGAAGAATTCGCCCTCGTTGTCGTCGTGCTCTTCTTCTTGTTGTGCCATGTTAGATGAGGCTACTTTCAGTGGATTTCCTGCTTGGAGTGGATTAAATAGTAACAATTTCAGCCAGAATTCATCTGATTTGATCAGCCAGCATGGACAAGCTAGTGATTTTAACTATTCTTCATATATACTGTGAATTCATGCTCTCTCTCTCTCTCTCTCTCTCCCTAAATTTCTCTCTCTTTCTCTCTCTTTGTTGGTAATTTGAAATGTGTGGACTTAATTTCTGATCAAAATAAAAAATTGGGAAGGAGGGATTATGTGATTATTGACAAATAATATTACTCTACTGAAATCAGAAACACAATGTCAAGCAAAACAACTTCTCATGTACAAATAATCACACATTATTTTGGGACACCGCCGCTTTGACGTCTCAGTTGCATGTCAAGCAACTAGAAGAAACCGAGAATCTCATTAGAACATAACCAGAGGCCTATCAAGCAAATAGAAGAAATCGAGAATCCGAGAATCTAAAATTCGAAAAACAAAATAATTATCAAGCAAATAGAAGAAATCGAGAATCTAAAATTCGAAAGACAGAATAGTTATCAAAAGGTATTATAATTGTTTACATTGCAGTAATTCTTAACGGTCAAATATAACCAAGAAACTACTCATGAAGCTCTCAGCAATGGCGGGACCTGAAGAATGTGAGTACGTGGGGAGCTTCATCTTCTTCCCGAGATCCACCTGAACATCCATGAACATATTCAACCTCTGCAACTCGAGCTCCTTGTCGAACTCCATTCTCTGCTTCTCCAGCTCCATCATCTGCTTCCGCTTCGAATTCTCAATCCTCTCGTACATTTCCCCAAATCTCGAAATTGCCCTCGCCAATTCCCTGCACACCGCTCCAACCGATAACCCCGCCGCCTCATCACCACCGTCGTCGCGGCGAGACCCTTCGAGGGGATACGGACTTGGGTCGGGGGATTTGCCAGTGAGAGCGAGGATTGGGGGTTTTGATTCGATAGATACGGCGGCGTTTGAGGGAGTTGAGCAGATAAGGGAGTGGAGGCGGCGGTAGAAGGGCCACTTGGACGGGCCGGACTTCGACTTCTCCAGCTTGTACTTTTTCTTCAACGTGTCGATGCGGTTCCTGCACTGGACGTCTGTCTTGGACGGCTTGACGCCGCCATTTTGAGTGGAATTAACGGCGTCAGCCACCTCCTTCCACTCTTTCTGACGGAGGATGCCGTGGTTTAAATGGAGGTAACGGTCGCCCCAGGCCGTTATTAGTGCCTCCGTGTCAGCTTCGTTCCAACAGTCCTCGCGGCCAGCCGGGGCGTGGGTACGGGTTCGGCGGTTCATGAGGGACGGGTTCGGGTCCGGAGGTGGTGGAGAGAGAGATTGGAAGTAGGAGCTGTCGATGCGGGTAATGATCGACAGACGATGGAAAAGATCGGAGTGAGAAGGATATGGAAATCTGGCCGTTCAATCTGCCGGCAGTGACGTCAGCTACCCAATTGTCGTTGGACGGACTACTATCCGCTTTAATTTTCACAACAAGACTTGGTACTCAAAGATGAATTGGAACTTTTCCTTAAAATTTCTCAAAATTGTTCACTATCAATTTATAGAACTTCCTGTTTATAATCAGAACTATTCATATTATAAATAATCCTATAAAGATCATCTCTACAAAAAATTAATTAAAACTAAGGTCGTTTAGTCATTAAACTTTTTAAAAATAAATGAATGGTATTGGTAAAAGCATTACGAACCATTTATGCATTTGCTACAATAGATTGACTAAATGACATTGGTTTTAATTTATTTTTTGTAAAGGTGATCTTTACAGTGCGATTTATAGTATGAACGGTTATGATCATAAGCACAAATTTTGAGTAGGAGTTTCTACTCATCTTTGAGTAGCCAAGTATTGTTCAATTTTCACTCTTTGGCTTACCTCGGAAATAGGGGTGGTTTCAGTTACGGTTACTCTACCAAAACCTATGTACCAATTACCATACCAAATTTTTGTTATAGCAAACTTTAGTACTATTACTGTGCTAAACTTTCGGTGTATCCAATGTCGTTATGTTAAATAGTTCGGTTGACATAGTATACCGTATAATAATAATAATTGTTACTTTGTTATGGGCCAAAATATGATTTTTTTTAATTTTATTTTTTTTTCAACCGAAGCCAAGGTCCAAACGTTTGCTTTTTCTATTTTTATGACTTTATCTCATATATTGTTGCCAAATTTAGAGAACCCAAATAGAATTCCTGCCGTAAGAAACCATAGGTAGCAAGCACACCAACACCAATCCCTATAGAGTATGAGAGAGTGTTGAAGAGAGAAAGTGTCGAAGGAATGAGAGGCAATGATGGGTTTTTACTAAAATTATTGAAATATTATATAGTTATTTATATATATAAATTGTACAATATATATTTATATTTTTCGGTACGGTATGGTAACCATTAGTAATGATATCAAATAGCAATGCCATACCAAAAAAATTCAGTTTGGTATAATACCGTGCCATTACCAACTGATACAAAATCAATATAATACAGTTGACACGATAATTTGGCAATAAATTTCACCCCTACGTGAAAATGTTCGTGAAAATTAATACATAATAATTATTTATTAATGCTTTATATTTTTTTTAATGCTTTAATTTTCAATCTCCTTTCTCAATGTTCTATTTATTGTTTTGTTTTATTTGATGGAAGCTGGATATTTTATTAACTTCAAATGAAATTACGACAAATTTTCGTAGAGGAGGTTTTAAATGAACTTAGGAGGGTCCTCTAACCATACAAACTCATAGTCAATAAAAACGGCAAACTCGGCTAATTTATGGGCAAGCCCACAGAACAATTTAGAAATGCTAGTTAAATACAACTAAGATGTTCTATTTGTTGTTAATGCTTTATATTTTGATGTTCGATTAACGAGAAAAACTTAGAGATGCTAGTAAAGTACATGTAAGAACTCGTTAACGAGTTTGGGTTTTTATATATTCTAAAACGATAAGCGAATGAGCCAATTGCGTTATGCATAATCTCCCACGACATGAGAACGTTAAAACGAGACACGTGACTAGCTGGTTCGGAGGGGATGGGGTTTAAGCACCTGTATGAAGATCACAACTTTAGAATCCCCAGTTGAGAAATGGGCTTCTTGGGCTTAAGCCCATTGGGCTGGAATTTGGGTTAGGGTTGGGTTTTTTGGATTGATTTGTAAGCTGGATATTGCCCATTGGATTGAACAAAAGGAGTCTTCATGGCCCAAGTAATACATGTTGAAGGCTTGTAGCAAACATAAATTGAGTGTTTTCTTTGTCATGTTCTTCAAAAACGATATTCTATTGTCAACTAATCTAAACCGCGAGGAGAGAATTAAGAGTTTGGTGCATAAGGGGAGTACATGTGCTCCATATTATTTCGTGTCAATAAGTTCAAATTGATCTTAATTGATTCAGCTTAATGTATATGTGAAAGGCAAATGGTATTTACTTGAGTTTATATGATTGAATTTGATTGCTACAATTGCCATGGTAATACACTATGGTTGCATAGGCATGTATTTTTAACATTTGAATCATAAGTTCTTTGAAACTTTGAAGGTCCCTAGTCAAATGTATATAGTCTTATTGTCCGTTAACGTTATAGTTGATCAAAATATCGAGAGTTAGCAAAAATTAGAGCATTGTTAAAAGAGATGTCAAAATTGCCACATAGACATAAGATGATAAAAAATGACAGACTTTCTCCAGCCATGCCTTCACTTTCTTACTTTGAGCTGAGGCAATTGAAGGCAAAGCCTTCTGCTGTCAAATTTGATAGCTGCTATCAAATTTATATAATAATTGTTTAATAGATGGGATGAAATTCATAAGAAATGATGTTGTGTGTTCCAAGTATTTGATTGGTTGTCTCAATAATTGGATCCCACAAATAGATAAAGGAATTATAGAATTACATTTTTATTTAACATATCGGGTGGAGAAAAATTTTATGCAAAATGTCAAATTGCTACATAAAGTCATCAAATATCTGTAGACATTGAAATTTCAGTGAAATAAATGTTGACCAATGTATTAAAATTACAACCTTTATTCGTTTCACCTACATCACACACTCATTTCACCTACAACTTTCACTTACTTCACCAACCTCACACACTTATTTCACCTACATCACACACTCATTTCACCTACAACTTCCACTTACTTCACCAACCTCACACACTTACTTCACCTACCAACTCCATTTATTTCACCTACAACATCCACTCACTTCACCAAAAAAATGGATGGTGGTGATTCACTCTCAAAGCCTATAAATAGGCTTCTCCATCAAGAGAAAAAGGATAGGAATTTACATTACACCAAAACCTTGAAGCCTTGAAACTCTAAAGCTCTCAAGCAAATCCCGAAAGATCAAGAAAGCATGCTTCGTTCTTCGTCAAAGTCTCCTTCAAGATCAAGCCCCAACGGCCCTTGAAGAACTTCCACGAACTCAAGATTAAGCCCCGACGGCCCTTGAAGAAAGTGTTCATCGTTCATCATCCGTTCATCCAAAGATCAAGCCCTAACGGCCATTTGGATCAAAAACCTCAACAAATCCACACATTCAATCGTTCTTCAAGATTAAGCCCAAAAGCCCTTGAAGATCTGCTCATCCATCAACTTTCAAGATCAAACCCAAAAGCCCTTGAAGAAATCCACACAACCATTATTCAAGATCAAGCCCAAAAGCCCCCTTGAAGAACTTCCACCAACTTAAGATCAAGCCCCGACGGCCCTTGAAGAAAATGTTCATCGTTCATCATCCGTTCATCCTAAAATCAAGCCCCAACGGCCCTTTGGATCAACAACCTCAACAAATCCACACACCCAATCGTTCTTCAAGATTAAGCCCTTGAAGAAACTTCCCTCAACCTTCAAGATCAAGCCTCAACGGCCCTTGAAGAAACTTCAAACCGTTCATCCAAGATCAAGCCTCGACGGCCTTTGGATCAATCGCACATCCACAAATCAACACCTTACGGAGATCGAATCAGATGATCAAATTACAAAGAGATTGTAACCCCAAAATCATTAATTAATACAAAATATTATTTTGTACATGTATTCTTGTTTCAGGAAAATTTGTGCTTACAATATCATTTTGATGTTTTACATTTAACATATCCTTTAGAGATGCTCTTAAATGATTTATAGGTTTGTTGACTCTAAAAATTACAAAACCTACGTAGCGCGCAGACCGAGTAACTAATGAGCTAACTACGTCATTCGGTTGAATGCGGGGCGTGCCAACTCGTCGGCCGAGCTCGGCCGAGGAGTAAAATTTGATGATGTCGCGTTGGGCGCGCTGTTGACTTCTATATCTTGCGATTGCGACCGAGGAAGGAACGCTCTCGGTCTCTGGGTTCTATAGCCTGAAGACAAGGCTACTAATTCTACGGAGTTCACAAATCGTCGGAGCCTGATTCGGTCACTGTGATTATATTCATAAAAGTATAAGCACGCCGAATCGAGACCAAACTATATGGGCACAGGTACTCAAATGTGATATATGTCTTGATGGTCAACGTAGTTCGGCCGTCGGAATGCCGAACCCTGAAACTTACTTGCGAGTATCCAATCATAAAATCACTCGACGTCCAACGCGCCGAGCAATGCAATTCGTAACACCTCACTAGGCCGGAAAGGCTAATGAGATGACCTCTACCAACAAAGGTCCGAAAACCCTTCTTGGCCGAGACTTAGATAGATAATCGGTCGACCTCGACACAGTGCTGTTTATCCAAACTGAAGGTGTTTCTCGGTCGGCTGATTCTGCGGCAGCAGTGCTGTTTATCCAAACTGAAGGTGCTCGCCGGGTGCTTCCACAGTGTTGTTTATCCAAACTGAAGGTGTGTCGGCAGGAAAAGAAAAGGAAAAATCTCAAGGTGTTTGAGAGGTTTTGCGCTGGGCAATTGTGTGCTGAGTTGAAGGGGTTTTCTATTACGTGATTTCTTGTATTTATAGCACCCTATTCCTTGAGATCAATTCGCGTTCTGATTCGGATTGGGAGTCCTTGTCCTATTTCACCTCTAACTCGGACAATCCAACTCCTACTGGGATTCTGAATTTTCCTCCCTTTTGGGGCTTTATTCCTTGCTGGTCGAGAATCCTGGTCGCACCAGGATTTCCTCGACCTTTCCTATTCATCTGGACTACTTATGATAGGATCTGGCCGACCCTGCCAGCTGGCCCAGGTTTCATTATTCGGCCCATAGTATTTGTCATCACCTTGGGCCCAGCACATCCTGCTGCTCGGCCCAACAATAATATTTCGGGCCCAAACAAGGTTACTTTAAGATTTCAAAAGTGATATTCTGCTTTCAACCAATCTAAACAACAATGAGTGGATTCAAAACTCAAGTGCATTTAGGAACATATTTGCTCCAGCTAAAGTGGTCAATTACATCCCTGTTTACAACAAACATACGATGAGTTATTAATTTTGCTTGTTATTTAACTTCGTCACACACACATGATAGTTGATTTTTCATTGTAGATCACTACCACACACATTTTATTAATGCCACAAAATTAGTTCATGTGGACGCCTACGAATGAGAAGTGGTTTATAAGTACAATTGTTAAAACTCAAATTTTATCAATGTCTGAAAAGAACGGAGAATTGGATGAATATCTCAATCATAGAATACAAGGTAGATGGATGAAGTTGAAGAGTGCATCCAGTATGTTATGCGACTGTCATATGTCACTAATACTAGGGAAAATTTTATAGGACGACAATAAGGTCAGCAATGCTTTACGACATAGAATATTAGGCGGTCAAGCTTCAACACATAGAAAAATGATTGTAGCAGAGATGAGAATGCTTTGTTGGATGTGTGAACGAGAAAGGACAAGATTAATAATGAGAATATCCGAGGTAAAGTAAGAGTGGCCGCAATTGAAGATAAGATGAAAGAAAATCTATTAAGGTGGTTTGGACATGTGAATAAAGACCTACCACTAGTACAAAAAAGACTTTGCGCGACGCAGGTCCTTTGTCGCGTAAAGTCAAAAAAACGTTGCACAAAAATTAGCCCAACGAACTTTCATCGCGCATCCACCGTCAAGGCAGTGACAGTAGGGTTTGCGCGACGAAGAATTGACCTACGTCGAGCAAAGTACCACTTCGCGCGACGTAGGTCCTACATTGCGCAAAACCACTTTGTGCAATGTAGGTCACTCTTCGTCGTGCAAACCCTAATTAATAAATATTGTAATTAAATTCTAAACAATAATTAATAAACCAAGAAAAAGTATTTAATTATAAAATATATGAAAACATACAAGATGTCCGAACAAAAAAGAAAAAACTACAAGTCTTCTAGGTTTAATACATCATGCTACTGGGTATCGGTTGGACGAAGTGGCTAGGAAGTCAAAGGTGGAGCAAGATTAGATGCTGGCATCGGGATTTGGAGGCCGGACATTGTTAAGGCCCGTACAATCATACTCATCTTCTCGTCCTGGGCCCTAATGTGCTCGACTTTGGAGGACGAGGAAGCGTGATCAGAAGGCTCCAGCTCCAACAAACAATTCATTCGAGAGACATCACAATGATCAACCAGGGCAGTGCTTACGTTGTTGCGTAATGCTTAACCAGAATATGCCCTGCACCTAGAGCTGCCTCACGTAGACTCATTTTCATCAGCACGACCTGTAAGAGTATAAGCTCCCATTAAATTTAAATAGTGCACCAAAGTCCTACAGTGATACATGATACCATATTTTACAGACTACCATCCACAAACTGTACTTACCATCTAAAATAGCAGGCAGCACCTGCTGTAAATAGTTCTGGAATTGGACGCCCAATGACCTTGGTAAATACTACAACCAATTTCCAAACAAAGGGGACCATTAAACAGAGCAGGTAAAACAAATACTTGCAGTAGCTTCACCTTAAATAATGTTAAATATCCATCACGGACAGATGCTTTTTTTTGAGAACAGTTTCGGATAATATCAGGAAGTGCAAGCTCAAAGTACTTTAGGATGTGTATCTTTTAAAACCTGCAAGTGCAATAAAGCATAAGACAACAATATGCATATTTTAAAAGTGCTACATAAACTCATGTCCATGACTCCATATAAAGACAAACCTCAGTCAATTTTGGAACAATCTTAGGGAGACACTGAGACAGCGGTTGAGGAGCACAATAGGCCATAGCCCCAAGCAGTTGGACACTACTTTGCTTTGTTCGCCAAGCTTTATCTTCAAGACCCTATCAAAATAATGTATTTATACATCTTTGTCAGAGACTAAAATGACAAACTTGATGATTAAGGAACTTCCAAACAAGTTTATAAATAAATGGGTAAGGTATAAGGTAATTACCTTCAAAAGAGATGGAAGAACCAGTTTAACTCCTTGAGCACTAAGTTGAGACATCACTGCACGAGCTGCACACTCGGCACCTTCACGAACTGCAACAACTTGATCAGAGAATGAAACCAACAGTAGTGGCAACATTTTAATTACATACCTGCATCAAAAAGATGAGAGGAGGACGGTTAGAGTGAGAGTTCAGGTGAATATTAAGTCCATATAGAGAACTTGTTTGTACATAACCGATCACTTTCGGCTCAAATAGTCTTCCGAGTGATTCACAGAGACACTCAAATCCGAGTAAAGCACCTTCACCACATTTTGCTGAATTCAATGGAAAGGAAATACAAAAATGAATAGCAACAATAAAATGCATAAGAAACAGAAGCATTGAGTGATCAAGGGATCTTGCAACAATAAATGACTCGAGTCGCAAGACACTTCTATTCTAGAAGTTGCAACATAAGATTCATAACCAACGAGAAGAGGAAAGAAAACTCCACAACCTCAGAATTAACAATTATTTGTCCCCACAGAATACACTAACTTAAGTGTGGTCCAACAACACAATGATCAATCATTTAATGACTAATCAGTCCTGACCTGTATTTTCTGGAATTCTTATGTTTAGAAACATAATAAATCTCACAAAATATAATTGCCAACAACATATACAGAAATTCCGGTCAACTTCTTAAACCGGGTTAGAAATCCAACCGATCTACAAGTCCTTCTTGTAGTTGAGCTACAATCCCATATTTCTTCAAGCAAGAAATACCGAATCCCTTGACCACTCCAGCAAGCCCGAAAGCAGCTCCACGGTGTTCCCCATATTTGTCACTCTTCATCAGTTCATTCAAAAGCCTCGAGACAAGAGCTGGTTCATCATCCTTGTACAGAGAAAAGAATAGGATTAGCTTTCCTCTTAACGTCAATATTGTATCTATCAACATAAACAATGTCATAAGACAATTTCTTGATGGGAAAAAACAAGGCTGGTTCATCATCCATGTACAGAGAAAAGAATAGGATTACCTTTTTGTTCAAGTAGTTCTCAAAGATGGGAAATAGCAAGGAAACATTATCCCTGCCATGCTTATCAATAATCATAATACCAGCATTGATCATTCTTCCCCTAACATCGGCATTAGGATCAGCCTGCATATTGAGAGACATTGACAAAGTGGTTAGAGTCAACACTTCTCCTTTCTGACAAGGACTATACAATATCTCTTTCCAATTGAATGCACACTTCATGCTTTCGAAACAAAGGGGATGTAAATCTTACCAGTGCTCTTGAAATAAGAAATGTCATAACAACAGGAACGTCTATTGTTCCGAGTACATCAGCAGAAGAATGTAATGCCAAGGCTACCCCTTGTCGACCCAGCCAACCGGTATCAACATTCTCCTTAGTCAAACCAGCATCACGGATATACAGAGAAAATAAAGTAGAAAGAGACTCCTGCATAACAATAATTATTGTAACATTACTACTTGTGAGACGGGTATAACAAGGTCAATGCAGGTTTGATAGTTAAAGTCAGACAAACCTGTATAGAATCGGGACATTCATCCAAAGCAGCAGCCAATGCCTCCGCACTCCGCAGCAGCAAAAAGGACATTATAATTGATATGCAAAAGTGCTTGGAAAAGGCCTGAATAGTCTGTCCCAAAGTCTCATACCGATCCCATAAATCCTCTGCTGCTTCTGCAACGGCCTGAACAAAAGCATAAAGAAAACACATGAGACTAGAAACATATTTTCATGGCAATAGAATATATTACATTAGCAACGGACAAAAGTTTATAACTGTAAACTAAGTCTAAAACACAGATAAATCTCCATCTTAAACCATAAGATGGGACCCTTATCCATTAGTCAAAGTATAGACACTACACTTCAGAAAAATAATTGGTACACCAAACCTTTTCCGGGTCATGTAAGGCAATCCAAATGCCTGTAGCGACTTCAACATTCTGATCTAAACTTATGACATTATAATTCACAGCATAAATAATTGGCTTGTAATTATTAACATTATCAATGAAAGCTGATCTAAACGTAGTGGGAATGGAGTGAAAGGAAATCAATGTATATTCAAGTTACCAAGTACAATATACAAAAAGATACATTTAAGTTACCATATATGCATATGACCATGTTCCCAGCTTTTCAAGCATGAAATTCAATTTCCGTTTACAAATTGGGGTATGCTATCCACACAACCCAAATTACTTCTCACACATCCCTTGTTAATTTCTGTCCGTTGATCTTCTTTAATTCATCTGATCCGACAGTCAAAAATTAGAAAGATGCGTGAGAAGTAAAATGGGATGTGTGGATATCATACCCCTACAAATTAACAATTAATATGAGATGCAATAGAAGTTTAAAAATAAATAAATAAATAATTTCTTATTTTCAAGAGTAAACCTGACCTTGCTCAACCCTTGAGCTACTCCAGAGCGCTCAACATTACTATTATCAGATTTAAGTGTATCAAACTAACACCATAGCACACCATGTTGCAACTGTATACTACTTTGGGAACAAACAGAAACCAACATGGTTGCACCCACCTTAATTCGAAACCCACATAACCTCAAACCCTCACTAATCCGAAACCCTATCAAATCAGAACCAACATCTAATTTTATCTGGAGATTTCGATAAAGTACTTTGAAATCAACATGCAAGTTGACCCTAAACCCTAAATAACAAAAACCCATCGAAAATTAGAAACCCTTACCTTGATTTTGGGACTTGATTCGCGTCAGCTTCGAGATTCGTGTGGTTGCCCTTCGTTTAGAACGAGAGGGAGAGAGACAACTGACATAGTAGTGGTGGTGGTTGGATTTGAGATTATGAAGATGAAAGACAGGTATGGGTTCAAGATTTGGGTTTCAAGGTTGTGAAAAGGAGAGAGAGGTCTACGGGAAAGAAAGAGCGAGAGGGAAGAGAGAGATCTATGGGGTTCAAGGTTGCCAAACTCGGAAAATTGAAAAAAAAAGGCCAATTTTTCACTATTGTACTGCCAAAATTATCACAACTACCACAACGTAGGTATACAATTTGACATCGCGCAAAGTGGTTTTGTGCGACGCCTTAAGGTGGTCATCGCGCAAGGTATTTTTTTTTTTTTTTAAATTATTATAAAAATTATTGAAAATGTAACTTTACTCCTTTCAAATTCAAATACATATACCATTGAACTTGATGGGAAAAGCATTGTACCAAACTAGTGTCAAAGATTCAACCGTCAAACTTGTTTGTATATGTTTCAAGATCACATATGCCAGAAATCGCAAAAAACAAACATGCAGAGATCAAATAACGAGATAAAACTTTTTGACGGTTATAAACGAAAAAGCACGATTTAACGGTAGTATTAACTCAGATTTTTATGATTTTTTTACAACTACGCTCCTGGATCTTATATCAATACAATGAACTAATTCGATCGTCAATTTAAAATAGTTGCACAAGTGGATACCACAAAATCTTATGTTATACTTAATGAAAGTATAAATAAACTCTTAAGTGTTAGTGAATCTATCGTTTTGATAGGATATGCATTGTATGAAACTAGTTTCAGCGATCCAACCGTCAAACTTGTTTGTATATACTTCGAGATCGCATACGCCAAAAATCGCAAAAAAGAAACATTCATATATCAAGTAACGGGACAAACCTTTTTTACGGCTATAAACGAAAAATCACGATTTAATGTTATTTTAACTCCGATTTTGATGATTTTTTACAGCTACACTCCTTGATCCTATATGAATACAATGAACTAATTCGATCGTCAATTTAAAATATTTACACTAGTGGATATCACAAAATCTTATGTTATACTTAATGAAAGTATAAATAAACTCAAAGTCTTAGTGAATCTATTGTTTTGATGGGATATGCATTGTATGAAACTAGTTTCAGCGATCCAACCGTCAAACTTGTTTGTATATACTTCGAGATCGCATACGCCAAAAATCGCAAAAAAGAAACATTCATATATCAAGTAACGGGACAAACTTTTTTTACGGCTATAAACGAAAAATCACGATTTAACGTTATTTTAACTCCGATTTTGATGATTTTTTACAGCTACACTCCTTGATCCTATATGAATACAATGAACTAATTCGATCGTCAATTTAAAATATTTACACTAGTGGATATCACAAAATCTTATGTTATACTTAATGAAAGTATAAATAAACTCAAAGTCTTAGTGAATCTATTGTTTTGATGGGATATGCATTGTATGAAACTAGTTTCAGCGATCCAACCGTCAAACTTGTTTGTATATACTTCGAGATCGCATACGCCAAAAATCGCAAAAAAGAAACATTCATATATCAAGTAACGGGACAAACCTTTTTTACGGCTATAAACGAAAAATCACGATTTAACGTTATTTTAACTCCGATTTTGATGATTTTTTACAGCTACACTCCTTGATCTTATATGAATACAATGAACTAATTCGATCGTCAATTTAAAATATTCACACAAGTGGATATCACAAAATCTTATGTTATGCTTAATGAAAGTATAAATAAACTCAAAGTCTTAGTGAACCTATTATTTTGATGGGATACGCATTGTACAGAACTAATTTCAACGATCCAACAGTCAAACTTGTTTGTATATGCTTCGAGATCGCATACGCCAAAAAATCGCAAAACAAACATTTAGATATCAAGTAATGGGACAAACCTTTTCAACAGTTATAAACGAAAAATCACGATTTAACGGTTATTTGAGCTCCGATTTTGATGATTTTTTACATCTACACTCCTTAACCCAATATGAATAACATGAACTAATTTGATTGTCAATTTTGAAACATTTACACAAGTGGATATCCAAAAGAAAAAGGCAATGCGAACCCCAAAAGAAAAGCAAAAGGGTAAAAAATAAAAATAAAAATAAAAAACACTTTGCACGATGTAGGTATGCCTGCGTCGCGCAAAACAGCTTTGCGCGATGAAGACCTACGTCGTGCAAAGTGTTTTTTTATTATTATTTTTTTTTTTTTGAAACCCTTTTGCTTATGAACTAATTCGACCATCGATTTAAAACATTTACACAAGTGAATACCACAAAATCTTATGTTATACTTAATGAAAGTATAAATAAACTCCAAGTGTTAGTAAATCTATTGTTTTGATGGGATATGCATTGTACGAAACTAGTTTAGATGATCCAACCGTCAAACTTGTTTGTACATAATTCAAGATCGCATACGCCAAAAATCGTAACAAACAAACATTCAGAAATCAAGTAACGGGACAAAACTTTTTGACGGTTATAAATGAAAAATCACGATTTAACGGTAGTTTTAACTTTGATTTTGATGATTTTTTATAGCTACACTCCTTGATCCTATTTGAATACAATGAACTAATTCAATCATCAATTTAAAATATTTACACAAGTGGATACAACAAAATCTTATGTTATACTTAATGAAAGTATAAATAAACTCGAAATGTTAATGAATTTATCGTTTTGATGGGAAACGCATTGTACGAAACTAGTTTCAACAATCTAACCATCAAACTTGTTTGTATATACTTGGAGATCGCATACACCAAAAATAAACATTCAGATATCAAGCAACAGGACAAAACTTTTCGACGGCAATAAACAAAAAATCACGATTTAACGGTTATTTTAACTCTGATTTTGATGATTTTTTACAACTACACTCCTTGATCTTATATGAATACAATGAACTAATTCGATCGTCAATTTAAAACATTTACACAAGTGGATACAACAAAAGAAAAAGGCAATGCAAAAACCCCAAAAGAAAAGTAAATTTTTTTTTTAATTTATTATAAATTTTATTATTATTATTTTTAACCCTTTTGCTTAAACTAATTCGATCATCGATTTAAAACATTTACACAAGTGGATACCACAAAATCTTATGTTATACTTAATGAAAGTATAAATAAACTCCGATTTTGATGATTTTTTACAGCTACAATCCTTAACGCAATATGAATACAATGAACTAATTCGATTGTCAATTTAAAACATTTACACAAGTGGATACCACAAAAGAAAAAGGCAATGCAAGAACCCCAAAAGAAAAGCAAAAAAGTAAAAAAAAAAAAAAAACAAAAAAAAAAAAACAAAACAAAAACACTTTGCGTGATTGTAGGTATAACTGCGTCGCGCAAAACAGCTTTGTGTGATGAAGACCTACGTCATGCAAAGTTTTTTTTTTTTTTTTTTTTTCTTATGAACTAATTTGATCATCGATTTAAAACATTTACACTGGTGGATACCACAAAATCTTATGTTATACTTAATGATATAAATAAACTCCAAGTGTTAGTGAATCTATTGTTTTGATGGGATATGCATTGTACGAAACTAGTTTAGACGATCCAACTGTCAAACTTGTTTGTACATAATTCGAGATCGCATACACCAAAAATCACAACAAACAAACATTCAGAGATCAAGTAACAAGACAAAACTTTTCGACGGTTACAAACGAAAAATCACGATTTAACGGTAGTTTTAACTCCGATTTTGATGGTATTTTTACAGCTACACCCCTTGATCCTATTTGAATACAATGAACTAATTCGATCGTCAATTTACACTATTGGATACCACAAAATCTTATGTTATACTTAATGAAAGTATATATAAACTCCAAGTCTTCGTGAATCTATTGTTTTGATGTGATACGCATTATACGAAACTAGTTTCAACGATCCAACCGTCAAACTTGTTTATATATGCTTCGAGATCGCATACACCAAAAATCGCAAAAACCAAACATTCAAAGATTATGTAATGGGACAAACCTTTTCGATGGTTATAAACGAAAAATCACGATTTACCAGTAATTTTAACTTCGATTTTGATGATTTTTTACAGCTACACTCCTTGATCCTATATGAATACAATGAACTAATTCGATCTTCAATTTACAATATTTATACTATTGGATACCACAAAATCTTATGTTATACTTAATGAAAGTATAAATAAACTCCAAGTGTTAGTGAATATATTGTTTTGATGCGATATGCATTGTACGAAACTAGTTTCAACAATCAAACCGTCAAATTTGTTTATATATGCTTCGAGATCGCATACGCTAAAAATCGCAAAAAACAAACATTTAGATATTAAGAAACGAGACAAACCTTTTCGACAGTTATAAACGAAAAATCACGATTTAACGGTTATTTTAACTCTGATTTTGATTATTTTTCACATCTACACTCTTTAACCCAATATGAATACAATAAACTAATTCGATCGTCAATTTAAAACATTTACACAAGTAGATACCACAAAAGAAAAAGGCAATGCAAGAACCCCAAAAGAAAAGCAAAAGGGTTAAAAAAAAATAAAAAAAATAAAAACACACACACACACACACACACTTTGTGCGACGTAGGTATGCCTGCGTCACACAAAATAACTTTGCGCAACGTAGGTGCACCTGCGTTGCACAAAGTTAGGAAAAAAGCCGTAAAGCATCTTGGTTTGGTGCCAAAATCTTGCTCGACAAAGACTGGTGTCACTCAAAGCTGTTTTGCACAACGTAGGTGCACCATTGTCGCGCAAAACTATTTTGCGCAACGCCAGTCTTCGTCGCGCAAAGTGTCGTTGCGCAAAGTATGTTTGCGCGACGTTTTCTGTTTAGCGTCGCGCAAACATACTTTGTGCGACGAAACTTGCTGCGTCGTGCAAACATGTTTTTGTACTAGTGTATATATGCTTCGATTAGAAAATGCGATTATGAAACAGAGGCTCAAGGCAAAAGGGTAGAAAAAATCCTATAAAGAGTTAGAGAAAACATAATTTACTTGGAGCTAATAGAATACTTAATGCAAAATTAAATACAGTAGCGTTCTAGTATTCATAACGTCGACAACACTTAATGATGGTTTGTCACTCTTGCATGTTGTGGTCTGAAATTGCCCCACTTGGAGAA